TTCATTTTCAAACTCAATTTGCTCTTTCTGAATCTTTGAGTTTGCCGTGCTTCTGTCTTTATAAAGTTCAGCCTCGTTGAATGTAGCATGCTTACTTCTGATTACCTTTCTGCTTTCACAGTCCCAAAGCCGGTAACCCATGCTGTCTCCCCCGTATCCAATGAAAGTGTATTTCTTGGCTTTAGCATCTAACTTGTCACCATCTTTCATAAGATCATAAGCGCTGCAACCAAATATCTTTAAATGCCCATACCTGACAGCTTCTCCTTTCCATTCTTCCTCCGGTATCTTGAAACCTAATGGTACTGATGGCCCCCGGTTGATAAGATAAGCAGCAGTATTCACTGCATCAGCCCAAAACGTCTTTGGAAGTCCAGCATTGAGTCTCATACTCCTGGCCCTCTCATTCAAAGTTCTGTTCATCCTTTCTGCCACTCCGTTCTGTTGAGGAGTGCCTGGAACCGTCTTTATCATCCGAATGCCATGTTCAGCACAATAATCAATAAACTCTGTGCTAATGTATTCACCGCCATTGTCCGATTTCAAGCACTTTACCTTCAAATTAGTTTCCAATTCAACAGCAGTTTTCCACTTCTTAAAAATATTGAAAACTTCAAACTTATTTTTAAGAAAGTAGACCCATACCTTGCGTGTTGAGTCGTCAATGAAGGTCACATAGTAGCTTGATCCTCCCAGGGAAGAGACTGGCGTCGGGCCAAACACATCCGTGTGAACTAGCTCCCAGCTTCTGAGTTTTCGGTGTCTGGCCTGTCTTCAAAAAAGAAACCTTCTTTTTCTTGCCAAGAACACAAGGTTCACAGAACTCAGAATTCACCTTTTTCAAATCTGGAAGTTTCCCCTTTGCAACAAGCATCTTCATTCCCTTTTCACTCATGTGGCCAAGCCGTTGATGCCACAAACTGGATAGATTCAGCCCGCAGGTCACTGCATTCATCTCATCATCAGGGGCTTCATTTATATATAAAGTACCCCTCTTTTTGCCTCTAGCGATTACAAGATTCCCCTTGACAACCTTCCATTGTCCTTCACCAAATGTAACATCAAATCCCTGATCATCCAACTGCCCAATAGAAATCAGCATCTTCTTAAGGCTTGGAATGACCCGAACGTCTTTCAATGTCCAAGTGGTGCCCAAAGAAGTCTTTAAGTCTATGTCACCCATCCCTGTGATGTCAAGAGAGTCGTTATTAGCCAAACGAACTTTACCAAAATTACCTGTCCGTAGATTCTTTATCATCTTTGTGCTGAAAGTAGCATGAAAAGATGCACCGGAATCCATAATCCACGACTCTGTTGAGTTTTCAACACAGCAAATAAGAGCATCATCTGAATCGTCAGTGGCTGCATTCACTTCCTTCTTTTCTGATGATTTAGGGCATTGATTTCTGAAATGCCCAGTTTCTTTGCAGTTCCAGCATTGAATATCTTTTCTCGGCTTTGATTGGCTCCTCTTTCTAGACTTTGATCTGCCTCTGCTATTTCCCTTCTCTTTCTTTCTACCTCTCCCTTCAGTGCTTAACAAAGCACTAGAAGATTCTCCAGAACTCCTCCTTCTTATATCCTCTCCAAGGATAATGTCACGAATGCCCTCAAATGTGAGTTTAGAAGTTCCAGTTGAACCGCTAATGGCAGTGACTGTTCCTGACCAACTTTCTGGTAATGAGGATAACAAGAATAAAGCTTGGACTTCATCTTCAAACTTAATATCAACAGATAGCAAGCGGGATATGATAGTATTGAACTCGTTAATATGTGAGGTAACAGAAGCACCTTCTTTCATTCTAGTGTTTACTAGCTGTCTTATCAAAAATACCTTATTTGACGCCGATGGTTTCTCATACATGTTTGACAAAGCCTTCATCAAACCACATGCAGTAGTCTCCTTCAAGATGTTAAACGCCACACTCTTGGCTAAGGTAAATCTGATAACAGCCAAAGCTTTCCTGTCTAGAGCAGTCCATTCATCATCACTCATCTTTTCTGGTTTCTTTCCTGTCAAGGCTTGATCCAAATCCTTCTGACACAGCAAATCCTCAATTTGCATCTTCCACCATCCAAAATCTTGTCCATCAAACTTCTCGACTTTGGTTTTTCCGTCGTCTGCCATTGTCCCAGACCTTTACAATCTGCCAGCTGTGTTTTTCTGCGGCAGCACACTGTTGGCGGCACAAAGAGGCTACGGATGCAGGGCGGCAGCAGTGGTGGTGGTCAGATATGTGGTGGTGGCTAACCTCGCTCTGATACCAGTTGTTAAGGTTAGGGCGCACACACACACACAAATCTGAAAACGAGAAAAGAACGAGAAGAAACGGCACACAGAAATTAACGTGGTTCAGCCAGTAAGTGTTACTGACCTAATCCACGGGGGCAACTAGGGTTTTCTTCTTTATTGAGATGATGAATGATACAGATTATGGTTTTACAAGTACAGGAGTCAATATATAGGCAAACAATTAGGGTAAAGCACTTAAATAAGGTTCTGGGCCTGACTGCCATCAAAGAAATAGGCCCAACTAGGGCTGCCTGCACATTTAACTAGAGCAGGCTGCTGCTCTTTGTTTAAATGACTCCCAGGTCTGAGTGGGCCGAAGCCTACAGCCCAACACCTACCACTTTCCTCTCTTATAGTACTCTATTCTAACGGGCCAGCCCATATTATATGACATGGCCCAGAATACTTATTTATACAATACCAAACTTATTCAATATCAATCTATCACTATTATTATCATTATTCTCTACAGCCCAGGGCCTTATCTCCGCCTTGAGGCTTGATTTCATGTTTTAAAAACCTTTCCTATCGGAGTATTGGCATTAGTATTATATTTCAATTACGTTTCGAATGATAATATAAGGGGTTAGAATATCAAAACTTGCTCACCAATACTCTTGGGAGTAGAAAAACCTAGGGCTTTTATTCATCAATAATATCCTAAGTTGTAACTTAATCTCTAGTTATTTACTCAGTCCAAGGCCACTTTTAAGGCCAATTAATCAGGAGTAGGGCTGGGTTCAGTATTTCAGTTCATTTTGACCCGAAATCAAATACAGAACAAAAGTAAAAAGTTCAGTTTGGTTCGCTTTTGCCGTTTCACATGGTCAATATCACTGGAATCGTTATATGGCTGTATGTTGCTGGAAATTATTAACGGTTATAGTAATTCTATTTTCTAAACCATATCTTTAAAATATCTGTAGACACTAAAAGAAGTTAAAGAAGGGTTATCAAATTGAATTGATTTCTTCAATTTTAGCTCTGTCTTTCAAATTTGCCATAATAGTCACTTGCCAATAACACAAGTCTCGAGTAACAAAAATAGGCAAGTAACTTTGTTTTGTAAATTGTTCCAACAAGGTAGCCTACTCAGCATGATCTAGGACAGAGGTAGTGAATGCTCACCAATTAAATAACATACATTATTTTGGAATAAATTCTCCCGTGTGTCTATGGAAAGGCCAAACACAAGAAATTCCTTCTCTGCCAGGGCGAGGAGTGCAAGTGTATAACCTTGCCCAATATGGATGGTTCTTACATTCATACCCTTCTATTTTTCTTCTTCTTCTTCTCCTCTACCACTCATCACAATTTGCTATAGAGTGAGAACTGTGAACTATGACGTAAAATATCATCACTCCAAGTCTCCAATAGTGATACTGAAAAAGGGTTCAGTTCAGATTCTGAAGGAGAAAGAACATTTGGGGGAAAAAACACAACTGACAGTCTCCGCCTTGATAGTCACTGCCTCCAAGTATATGAAAACTCTGCACCTGCCTGAATGCTCTTGTTTCAAACATTGCTCATTCATCATCACCGCCAGCAACTTGCCGACTTCATCAGCTAGCAGCGGCTGCAATTGGCATCAAAATTGATGCCACTGCCGGCACCTCCGCTAACTGTGCTACCGTAAACTAAGCCAAAAACGTTTCCACTGTTCCATTCTGATACGACCACCAACACCTGCACGCAGCGCGCTCCATTTTCCCCCACATATGACACATTACCGTGGACACATCCTCGCCCAACAGGTTGCACGACCCCCTACTTCGGTGCTCTATCAGATGATACGAAACATGCACCTGGGTAGACCTAGTTCAATCCTATGCGATATTGATGTTTATATAGTCTCATTTTACTCATGGGGGACTCACTAAGACTAGCATAATCTCTACTCGATGGAGATACTGGTGGACCTTCACAAAATGCTGCCAATGCTGTTTGATTGAGGACAAGTTTAATTGATGTACGGGAGTAAAGTGATGACATGAGCATGCTTTGTGCTTCTCAAGCTAGGGCAGTGCAGGTTAATAAATAAAGTATACAGTCTTGACATATATTGAGTGTATTTTTCAGTGTGCTTCAATAGACTTCCATTTTCAGCACTTCATGAATAAGTAAACAACAATGCAACCTTACTTCTAGATTTCTGAACAACAACAACTTCTAGATCTCTTCACATTGGATAAAATTCTAATAGCTCCATAACCTAAAAAACTGAAAGTATTTCACTGGCAGGTAAGTCAACTGGTTAATAGGTAAGTGCAAAAATTGATGCTGGTTCAATTTCTGACACGAAACCTTACTCTGAAGTCATGTATGCACAAAGTGCAGACTCCAGGCTGTGATTATAGCTTTCAAACTGCAGGATGTTCAACCAATTCCTATGTTGCACGGAAACCAGAGAAATATTGGGAAACGTGAAAGTGAAAACATCATACGTAGTATTTTAATCGAAATATAAGTGTTCAGAGAGTTTCAAAACAGTTTTTGCAGATTATCTGAAACGGAAATGGAAATCAGCTCTTGACGGAAAGTATCCGTGCATCATTTATAGACGCTAAAAGATAAGTGCATCCTTTTTCGCTAAAAGTAAACCACCAACACTAAACATAAACAGTGGTTTCCATCTACAATGAACGATTACAAGCAAGCTACAAAAAATGACAGCTAATTATGCATGGATGGCGGATGGAGGAATTACCGAGATCTCCGCCGCGTTTGGCAGAGCTGCAATGAGATTCAGTGGAGGCAACCTCCTCGAAACTGGACTTGCCTTCTATGATGTCCTTGTGCAAAGCTTTGAGCTGAGAGACGGCGTCATCTCGGGTTGTGCTACAGATACGGAGGCCCTTCGGGTCCTTCCACGACGACTTGTTTCTGGAGCCCTGGTGTTTGATCAGAATGTGCGACGCCCTAACTTCGCCCGACGACATCTTCGATTGGAGAATGAGAGAGTGACGAGAGGGCGGATAGTGAAAGGAGATGGATGACCTAAAGCTGTGGACGTGCGTGGGAACGGAATGGAACGGCTTCGAACGTTGGAATTTGGAAATGATTGCATTCTATCCACAGTCGATCAACTTCTTCTATATACTCCCTCGTTCCCTCGTTATAAAAGCAAGAAGTTCCCAATTTGACTTCCAAGCACTGTTACGGAGTTTTTATAAAAGCAAGAAGTTCCCAATTTGACTTCGAAGCACTTTTATGGAGTTTTTTCCACGTTTAGTCCTTAGACTATTATCTCACTGACACGTTTGGTACTCGACTTTGATTTTTTCCACTTTTACTCCTCAACTATTATACTAGAGACACTTTTGGTATCCATCTTTGAAAATTTCCATTTATAGTCTTTCGACTTACATAAAAGTGACACTTTTGGTCCTTCAACTATTATAAGAGTGACATTTTTAGTCTGTCACTTATTGTGTCAAAATCATAGTGGAAGGACTAAAAGTGTCAATTTGATAATATCAAAGGACTAAATGTGGAACACTTTGAAGTCGAGGACTAAAAGTGTCTCTAACACAATAGTTGAGGACTAAAAATGGAAAAATTAAAAGTCGAATGCCAAAAGTGTCACTGACACAATAGTCGAGGGACCGAAAATGGAAAAAACTCCACTTTTATGAAAGTAAACTTAACAGAGGGTAAATTTTACTATTTTGACACTATTTCGACACTGTTTGACATTGTTTTGCACTGTTTGGCACTGTTTTGATGTAGATAACTTTATTTTTAAGGAAATGAGAACTTAAATTAGGGACATCCAAATAAGGAAAGTGAGAACTTCTTTCGGGGACGGAGGGAGTATTCATTTAGCACATTCTTTTAAAATAGGAGAAACTATCAAATTAGCCCCTTATTTTTAAAAAAATCAATTAGGCCCCCAACTGATTATTTTTCGGACACTTTTGAAAATCGGAGTTACTTTTAACGGTCTTTTTCAGACGTTTTTAACGGCGTGACCCTCTTGTGATAACGAAATTCAAACACATGAACCACTTTGATAAAGAATGAAACACATGACTCTATCTGAAAACGGGCTCAACCACAAGTACATTTTCCGTAATTTTCCCTTAATTTTTTAAATTACCTTCCACTTTCTACTTTACCATCCTTCTAATTACCTTAAATGGAGTCCTAAAATCTATTTTACACATTTAGCCTCATATGTATTTCCCCAATACAAGTAGTCTTATAACATGAATTTGTCAAATTATTAAAAAAATGAAAGTTTTGAATATGTTTTTTTTGACTTAAATTAAGAGTTTTTAAAAATATTTTTGGAAAATTAAAAGAAAATATTCCTTGTATAAGTTTAAAACATAAACAAAGTGCACATATATGAATATTATTGTTTTTTTTCTCCTAAAATAGGACTTATTCCTCCTAATGGGGGGAAATTAGTTATACTTTTAATAGAATCAAATGAGTCCTTTTTCGGGAATAAAATACGTCTAGTCCTATTTGTGCATTTTGTCTAAACTTTAGTACTATTTAGAGCAATTTATAAAATTAAAATTATTTATGAAAATATAATTAAAGTTATTATGAGTATAGTGTCACAATCTTTTATGTGTAAAAGTTAAATATAAATTACTACGACTAGCATTATATTAGTGTTACATATTACCATCATCACTACATTTAAAATGTCACTGTTTTGTAAACAATCTTTATTTTAATCATAAATATGTAACTATTCCATTAATCAAATATAAAGCATTAATGACGTTTTACTTGGATTGGAGTTTGCTAGTCTGATCTGGTCTGTTTAATTCTGGTCTGTTTAAGTCTTGTCTGATCTGAACTGATTTAGTCTGGACTCTGTGCATTTTATAACTATGGAAGTCTGGTCTGGCCTTATCTGGTCTGAACTTATCTGGTCTGAACTAGTCTAGTCTAGTTTGAGCTGGTCTGAATTTGAAAACAGTCCAAGTAAAACCATCCTAAACCTAAGTGAAGCTAATCATGGTTAAATTATAGTTTCAAATGTTTTGGTAATTTTCGAAAAAGTGATGAAGATATTTTAAGAAGAAAAACACAATGAGAACCAACACATCATATGGGCCGATGAGATTAGTCTATAATTTTCGGTTTAATAGAAAAAATTTAACTTTTGGAATTGGAACGAAGTTAGAATGTTTTTACTTGGGACTATTTTCAGTCCCAGACCAGACCAAATCAGACTTAAACAAATAAGATCAGATCAGGTCAGACTTAAACAGATGAGACCAGACCAGATCTGACTTCCGTAGTTATAGAATACACAAAAATCAGACTTTTACCAGATCAGACAAGGTCAGTTCAAACCAGACTTAAACAGACCAGACCAGACTTAAACAGACTAGACTAGACCAGATCAGCAAATTACAATCCAAATAAAAACATCCTGAGTCTGATATATTATACTTCGTACACGGGCCGGGTCATCATTATACGGAGTATACAATTGAGAAATAATCTGTTTTTCTGTTATACCCGGTAGAAGACTATATGTGAATATTAGGATCCGTGTAGTTCCACGAATTTTTTATTTTAAATTTTGAACGAGTTTTATTCAGCTAATTTTTATGTTTATATAAATGTATAATTGCTAACAACTACATAATAATGATTTAAAATTTAGATGAGGTGAACACAATTACTAGTAAACAAATGAAAAAATTACATCTTTAATTGCAAACCATGTCTAAATCAATCTAAATTACAGCAAGTTTGTCTCCTTAAAAATTAGTAAAGCTCACATTTTGATCACCTTAATCATAATATATAAAAATCATATACTCATCATATCTGAGAGCAACCCATGATATATATATAGACTAAATAACAAAATAAAAAAGCAATTCATGTTAGCCCAATAACCCTGCTGTAATGTTTACCCCACATATAGTTTTCTACTCGTATATGTCGAGTTTAATGGACCCTCGTCCACTTCATCATTATTTGAAGCTTTCAATCATGTAGCCACACACTAGTTGGACCATGGTTCCATCCCAATAACATGTATGCAACTAATTATGCATGTAAATTAATTGTACTACCAATCACCAAACATGTAATGCACACACATGTTTGCAAATAACAAGCTTAATTGAAAGATAGACAAAGTGTCAATTAAAGACCTAAAAGACTACAAATGTTAATTTATATGGTCCAAAATCAAAATGATTGAAAAAAATCAATCCAACCTTTATGTCATGAATTTTGATTTTATTTATTAATTAAATTTTAGTTTCAAATAAAATTGTTAAACTTAATAAGTTTTTTGAAGAAAAAATTCATTGAAAATAATAATAAATAATTAGTTAAAAATATTTCAAAGCATGAAATTTATGATTTTAATTGATTGTTTTTTCAGACCTTAGATCAATATTCGATATATTTTATCTTTCAAACGTTGATTGATAATTAATATATCTTTAAGTTTTAGTTGAAATATTCCAATATTATAAGTAAACACAGTAAAAAGAGTAAAAAAATACTCCACACGTGTCATCTATCTTCTTTATACCATTATTAGGAAAAAATGATTCATTTTTATGAACCAAATAAAGTAAAAAATTTATATCTAATTTTTTAATTTACATTGAAATGTGTTATTTTGAAATTTATAATCATACATTAAAAATTTGAGTTTTATTTTATTTGTGATGAAAGTACTCAAAGTAGAGTATATATAATCGACTCTTATTAGATTACAAGCTAGAGAGAACTAGATTTATGAAACGGCTATATACTCCCTCTATATCACTTTAACTGTCTCTCATACTTGTTTTCGGATTGTATCAAATCAATCTTCACATTTCAAATTTTAGAAAGAAACCTTTTTCTAAAAGTGGCTATAATATACTTTAATAAAGTACTACCCGCGTTCTTCTAAAATCAAGACAAATGCTGTGTACGTACATTTTTAAGAAAAATATATACTCACTGCGTCCCCTTTTAAATGTCCCGGAAGAGGGTGACACGAGTTTTAAGAAAAGTGAGTTTGTGCGCAGATTATACCGTGCGACCGGCGCACCATGAGGATGGTGTGCCCGGTCGCAAAACGGCGATCATTCCTCCCTCTCCAACTACTTTCGCCCAAACCAACAGTACTCTCCCAGTCCCTGCCCACCTGCCATCGCCACCTAGCCGCCCCAAACCTTCACAGCGCCCAGCACCTCGCCCATCCACCTGTAGAATTGTTGCCCAACACCATCCCACAACCACACCCCCCTTGTGCAATCCCTGCAACTGCCGCATCACACCACCACAACCCCAGCTGCCTCACGCAATCACAGGTCCAGACCATGCCCCAGTATATTCATTTGTGTGTGTGTGTGTGTATAAGTATATATATGGAGTTACATCTCTGTAAAAACGTTTTACATTTCAATAACCTAAAGTTACATGTCCCAAATTACATCTAATTTGTTCCCCAAGTTACATTTCAATAAAAGCAGTTTACATTTTAACGAGTTACATGTGAATGAGTGCAATTTACATTTTGATTAACTTGAAGTTACATCTCGAATCACACGAGTTACATCTCATATAACCATGGGTGCATGGTGCTCACCAGCACAGGTTGCACGATATAGGCACTCGAGTTTGATTGTGTGGTTGATATTAATTGATAAAGTAAGAATAAAGTAAGAATGATTTTGAGCCACACAAATTTTACCAAATAAGGTATGAGACAATTAAATAGGGACATCTCAATATGATAAAATGAGACATTTAAAAGGGGACAGAGGGAGTAGTTATATAGTTCTTATTAAATTGGTAAGGTATGAATATAGTATAAATGAATTGGATTAGAACTACACAAATATAACTTCTTCTGTCATATTAGACCTTCTCAGCTTTTCTTTTATTATTGCGCAAAAAACGTTGTCACTTTTCTACGGAGTATTAAATAACCTATTTGTGGGTTTGCTCATTTTCCTCTCATATGCACATAATTCCCAACCACACAATTATTATTTTTATTATTTCTCACACAATCCAAAGTCAATAATGTCCAATGGGGTGGAGGTATACTAAGAGCCTGTTTGGTAACACTAAAATTGGCTTAATCGGTTGATTCTGCTAATATTGATGAAGTTTTAGCTGAAGCGGTTGAGTTAACTGATTCTTCTAAATTA